ACTCACTCTGTAGACCAGGCTGGCCTTGAACTCAGAAATCCGTCTGCCTCCCAAGTGATGGGATTAAAGACATGCGCCACCATCACCCCGCCCGTCCCCCCCCCCTGTTTGTGGGTATGTATGTATGACTGTATGACACTGTCTTCAGACATGCCAGAGGGCATTGAGTACAATTGTGAGCCACCATGTGGTTGCTTGGAATTGAACTCAGGACCCCTGGAAGAGCAGTCAGTGCTCTCAGCTCCTATGCCATCTCACCAGTCTGCAAGTTACTTTGAAATGACCCCGCCAGAGCCAGGTCACTCATTTAGCTGAGATGGTGTCCCCATAATCCCGTGGTGACTGTAACTGAGCAATTCTTGAACATCTTTACTGCTATAGTTGCCATTGAGCTACCATGATTCCCATCCCAGCCTCCTGGACCTTGCTGAGAGGGCTGCCCTGGCTGTTTAGACTAAGTCTGCAACTCCCAAGGATTCTAGTAGTCAGACTATTATTTAGCATTCAGTAGTTCTCATTGCTGGTGGTAGTGGGGATCCTGAAAACAAAATGACAATAATCCTTAGTTATTTTGAGGTAGTTTTTAGGTTTGGGATTGACCCCCGGGGCTTTTGTGAGGGTAACAGACCATTACTAACTAGTGAAAGGCCCTCAGTTCAGGGGCTCTTGCACCAGCCCCCCCCCAGTGTTTTCTGCACCTAGCACTGAATTTTAGCCGTATGGAGCTCAGCAACAGCATTGCCTAGCATGTTCCAGACCTTGGTCAGCACTGCTGGTAAAAATCTGAGTCCCTATAGGAGTTCTTTTTTTTTTTTTTTAAAGATTTATTTATTTTATGCATATGAGTATACCACCATTGTTCTCTTCAGACACACCAGAAGAGGGAATCCATTACAGATGGTTGTGAGCCACCATGTGGCTGCTGGGATTTGAACTCAGGACCTCTGGAAGAGCAGTGGGTGCTCTTAACCTCTGAGCCATCTCTCCAGCCCATATAGGAGTTCTTAAAATAATAACTTATTAAATGTGAGGGGGGCATAGGTGCTCAAATCATTCCATTTTGGCCTCCAGGGGAACTTGTAGTGGAGATGCACACAGAATGTTGACTGTGGCAAAGGAAGGGGATGAGCTCAGAGGAAGGACATGGCAGGGCAAGCGAGATGAGGAACTGGTAAGATGCTAGCACATTGGTTCTCAAGAGCTAGCATCAGATTAACTGCTGGCACATGGATGGTTCCCCGCCCAGTGTCCCTGATAATGTTTTTAGAGTATGTTTTGAGTTTCACACTTGGTGGATTCTGCCCCTAAACATGTCAGCAGTTCCTAGGGTTCCACGAAGTTAATACCTGTACAGTTTTCCCAAAGATCAGGGACAGTTTTACAGATTGAATATTCAGTTACCTTGCTAGCCACTAGGAGGCAGTATTGCCCTGCTGAAAGCCTCCGACCAACTCCTTTGCCTGAGGTCATGGATCTCTGGAGCAGAGTTATCATTGAATTAACTGACAAGATGTCTTCCCACCAGGTCACTTGAGCCTCACTGTCATATGTTGAGACTGAGGCTCGGGGCCAAAACTCGTAATATGTGGGGAGGAGTTGACTTCCATGAGGTGTTTCAGCTACAGAACCTAAAGCCAGAAGCACACAGAAGTGACCAGTGAGAAGCAACAGATTGACAGCTCTGAGGCTTTGCTTGGGCTCGAGTGAGTGAGGGGGAGACAGTAGGGATGGCTAGAGATTGTAGTTTCCAATTTTGAAAGTAGAGAAAGCCGGAACATGTAGAGAAAGAAAGGCCTTTAATCCCGGCACTTAGAATCAGAGGCAAGTGAATGTGAGTTCCAGGCTAAGCTAGCCAAGTCTACAGAGCAAGTTCTAGACAGCCAAGGCCACACAGAAACCCTGTCCCATAAGATACATATGTACGTACATACATATATACATCCTGTCTGAGACTAAGTGAATAAGCAGTGAAAAATAATGTTTATGTATATGCTTGACTATGTCTGCAGCAAGTGTGGAGGCCTGTAGAGGCCAGAAGAGGGTGTCAGATCCCCTAAAACTACCGATGTTGATATAAGCCTCTACTAGAAAGTAAACCCAGGTTCTAAGTTAAGAGCCGTGAGCACTTTTAACTGCCTCTGGGAGAATGGATCTTACATAGCCCTGAAGCCATGCATGAGAGGATTAGAAACACAGCTAAGACCCAGGGAAGGTGAGTGACTGACTAGACTGGCGGATTACAGCTGGGCTACCTCAACAATCAACCCTTCACCCTGAGGGTGCTGGCAATGTGCCAGCTGCCCTGGCAAATAAAGCCTCAGACGGATGGCAAACAGTGCTTGCCCCAGGAGTCAACACAGGTCTGATTCAGCCTGTGGTTTGTGCTTGTGCCAGCCCCCAGGGCTGTCATCCCCACCCCCACTCCAGTGGCCAGGTTGGGACTCTTGTAACAGTAACACGTGAGGCTCCTGTGAGCATGGGGCGACCTGCAGTGAGTGTCTCTTTGAGACCACCACAGACCTGCCTGCCCATCCTCCTGGTCAGACACACACACAGCACTGCCCCCACCAAAGTGCCCTCATCAGGAGCCCACACAGGATTGGGCACAGCATTGCCAGGTCTGGCCCTTGTTGGCAGTAGACTCCTTGCCAACAAGTGTTGGCTCTGAGGCACAGTGGAACAGGTGGGCTGCCCACCCCAAGGGTTTCACAAGAACCATCTGCATTCATTTGAAGACAGCATGATAAGAAATTTTACTTTTGCTTTTTTCCTTTTTTCGTTTTTAGTGTCAGAGTTTCTCTGTATACCGCTGGCTGTCCTGGAACTCACAAAGAGAACTGGGTGCTGGAGACCAACAGTGTGTGCCACCACCACCACTTAGTCTGTTTTGTTTTATTTATTTATTTATTTATTTATTTATTTGAGTACACTGTTGCTGTCTTCAGACATACCAGAAGAGTGCATCAGATCCTATTACAGATGGTTGTGAGCCATCATGTGGTTGCTTGGAATTGAACTCAGGACCTCTGGAAGAGCAGTCAGTGCTCTTAACTGCCAAGCCATATCTCCAGCCCCCAGTCTTTTTTTTTAAAAAGCATATTTGAAAAGATCTATTTTATGTGTAGGAGTGTTTTGCCTTCGTGTATGTCTTTGTACAATGTGGGGGACTGGTGCCCACAGAAGCCAGAGGGGATATTGGATGCCCTAGAACTGGAGTTACCTATGCAGCCACCATATGGGTGCTGGAGGTCAAACAAGTACCTGTTGTCTGTGTTGTCTGTGTTGGAGGGGGGTAGGTGACTAGGTGAGGGACACACATGCTACAACACAACACCTGTAGAGGTCAGGACAACTCTGGAGATTAAGTTTTCTCCTACCTTGGATTCTGGGGACCAGACTCTGGTGGTTAGACTTGGGTCAACAAGCACTTTTACCTGCTGAGCCATCTCACTGATCTCCCCGACCCACTTCCCCCCAACCCCCCCAAACACACACACACCTTTTTATGTAGCCCAGGCTATCCTGGACTTTCTATATGTAAATGAAGCTGAGTGACCTTGAACTTGGCAGTGAGCCTTCAGCCACTGGCTCCTGACTGCTGAGAGTCTAGGTGTGGGCCATCATGTCTGGTTATTTATTTACTTTTAATCTTTCCTTGAGACAGGGTCTAGTTACTATAGCCCCAAGTTGTCTTTGAACTAAAGACCCTTCTACTGGAGCTTCCCACGTGCAGAGATTACAGGCCTGTACCACCCTGCCCACATTCAGAGATGGCTCTGAGTGTCAGCGGTAATTTGACGAAGAAGGTCTCTCAGGGAGGCTTTTGTTAAACCCTTGCAAGGCACAGGACTGAGGAGGTGAAAGACTAGTTAATCCTGTCCAGCCTGGTGGAGCTGAGCTCAGGACCCACAGCAGCAGCCACCAGCTCAGTACCTGAGACCCACAACCTTGAGTGTATGCTCTAGGGAATGCAGGCCAGCCACAAAATATAGTCACTTACACTGAATTACCACCTTCTAGCTGGGCAATGGTGGCGCACACCTTTGATCACAGCACTTGGGAGGCAGAGGCTGACGGATTTCTGAGTTCGAGGCCAGCCTGGTCTACAGAGTGAGTTCCAGGACAGCCAGGG